AAAAAAATCAGACGTATAAATCTTTTTGAGAAATGACAAAATGGAAGGCTTGCACCGAAGGCAGAAAGCTGCTGTGATGATGTGACTTTTAAAAGTCTGTGCCATACCAGCACTGGAGTCATAAAGAAAGAAAATACTGACATGGGAGATAGCAATTAAGAGTGGGAGGAACTGATTAAACCACTGAAGAATGGTGGCAGACTGGTTAAAAATAGGATGGAGACTTAGGCAGCAGAAGAGTAAAGGTGGGGTTATGTGAGTCATAATTCTACAACTCTACTCACTTTACTAGAAATATCAAAAACCTATCTAAAACAAACAAACCAAAACCACAGAGGCTTCAGATGCTTTTCAGCAGAAGCAGAAATTCAGCTGGAGGGTGGAATGAGAGGGACAAAAGCTTATAAGGTTTATGAGACCTCACTGGAGAGCATCACTGAACCCCAGCCTGCTCTATCTGCCAAGGGGTCACAATGCCTGTGTGATTATTTCAAAGTCTGTTTTGAACACAAAGCAACACATTAAAATCTTCTCATTTAAGGAAGTGTCAGCAAATACTTAAAATATTGGAAATAGTCCATTTAAGGTAGAGAGGGTAAATAAGCTGGCTGTGTCAACTAGCATAGGAAGCTTTTGAAACTATAGGACCAGCTTGCTGTCCTCATTGCTGAGTAACTTGAGAAAAGATTTCATTCTACACATAGAAATACAAAGTCCCACTCTAAAAGATGAGTTCCTTGGGCTAGCCAGCCATCATTACTGTGCCTTTCATATTGATTATTCCAAGTATCTGCTGTAAAATTAAATTGTGATTACAGACCTAAAGGAAAATTTCTCTATTGCTAATTCTAGGCACAAATGTCAGGAGCTGCCAGAGCTCATGCCCATTTGTGAACTGCACTGATTTGCATTTCCAGAGCTTGTAAAGCTGCAGGATGAATAGTAAAACTCTAAGTATAGGCATAATTTAGTTTAGCTTACACTTCACTAGACCTACAGCAATGGTAACACTACTGAGGACTGTCAGCTTTTGCTACTTGACCTGGCACTTCTGTTTTCTTGCTCAAGGAATTTGCATCAAGGGTATTAATTACAGAAGTCAGAACACACTAGGATAATAATACTGAAGAAAATTCTCAGCTCCCTCAAAGGAGAAAGGAAATAATGGAGGAATTTTTTTTCTTTCATTTAATGCCAATTAGTAAAGCATGGTTGAGATTTATCAGAATTGAGACACAATTAAACATCTCTACAATAAATTACTATTATGGTTATTATTTACAACTTGGCTGTGACTAATAACCAGTGAGACTGATACTCATTACAACAGATAATGTATAATTAGCTATATTAGATATTTGATGTACCAAATGGCTGTCATAGATCTCTTCTTAAAAGACTGTCACTATATTTTAAAGTAATTTAAAAATACTAAAATACTATTATAATAAAGCACAGCATAATGAGTAGGAGAAAAGAACAGGTTCTAAAAAATGGATGAGACATTGCTTGCTAAGTTGACCTTTTAAAAATACCCACTCGTTCACTTATCTTCTAAATGAAAGGCAGAATTATTTTTAATTCCAGCTAATGAGAGCAGATATAAGTACTCATAATTAAAAGTCACTCACATTTGAGCCAGCTACAGTTTTGCTATTTTAACATAGAATAACACTTAGGGTTTCATGACAAATACCATTCTGCTCCATTATATTCCAAATACTTAGTCCTGGAACATTTCAATTGTGACATAACTTTCTCCCTAAGACAAAGACCTAATTCCTCAAGAAATATTATAAAGCAACAGAAGAAAAAACTTCTGTTCAAAAGAAGATCTCGCCTGCTTGAAAGTTTAAGCACAAAACCACCAACAAATATGATGTTCTTTTCTGAGAGGAGAAATAAACGTTTTCTACAATATAGGAGAAGATCTTCCTTTTCTGAACACATGGAAAACAGTAGAGGATTGAAAGCTGGAATCTGACAAAAAAACAACCTTCATTAAAAAGAAATACCTATGACAGCTTTATCAAAAATGGTTGTAGAAATACTTTGCCAAAGTGTCTGTGTACATGGCTGAACTGGATTTTTTTCCTAAGATGTTGAAGAGCACAGCTAAGGAAGACTGCTCTGAACATTGTGTGTTGCTAACTCCACAGGGAGAAGGGTGCACAGAAAATTGGCTGTACTGGCTGCTTTGCAAAGTTGCTTCTTTCTTCTAGGAAAATCAAATCTACTATTTACAACACTTAGTGAAAAAAAGTTGCTGAATGGCATTAACTATATGTTTATCTGGTAATTTTCTCATGGTTGCTTTTAGGATTCAACAGCTCTGGAGTTGGCTACCTTTATTTCTTACCCAATTGTTTTCTACTCCTTTTGCTGGGTATCAGTGATACACTTTTAAAGGTACTGTCTTGATGTAAGTAAAGGACAATGACTCAGTTAAAGTATATGATGGACTCAGGTGGACTATGTCTTGTTGCACTGGAAAATATCTTCCTCCAAACACTCCTGAGCAAGGTTTTATATGATTTGTACCTTTCTGTTACAAGTCACAGCATGTGCAATATACTGGGAAAATGGTAGCTGAGGTTGGTGTTAGCAGAGCTGAGATGAAACTTAAAAGTAGTTCCAAGGAAATCTGGTTGCTAACATTCACTAAATTCAAAATCATAAAAAGGTTTTGTACAAGCTTAGGCTCTCCATATTTTTCCAGCACATATCCAGTGGGACTAAAAATGACAGGCATCTCCTTTGGTGAAGTTGGATATACAAGAAGAGTATGGTGACAGGATTTGCATTCATTCCTTACACAGAAATGCAGACTTTCTTTTGAAAGCAAATCGTTAAAATCCAAGGAAGGATAGTTCTCTTTCTTGGTATAAAACCAGGTATGATTGAGAACACAGGCTTGGTTTCATTTCACAGTCTAATATAAAAGCTCATTAGCTCAGAGATCTTCAACTGTCCCAAAGAGAGGCAGTTTATAGGGCCCTGCTTCGTTAAACCTGTGCTTTCCGGACCACAGAATGGAATTTCTTTTTCAATCTCCTCTACAGAAAGGATGTGGAAAGGTTATTATCATGTTGCTAAGGGAAATACACCATCCCATCATCAAAAGCCAATATTATTGACTGACAGTATTCAGAGAGGGTTATGGCTTGTAAAACCAGTCATTCACATTACAACTTGAGCAATAGTGCTCTCTCTTGGAGTAAGCCAAGGAAAAGTAACAGAAACTGTTACATTTTATATTATTTTTATTTCTAATCTACTAAATGCTGTGAAATGCATTTAACTTTTCCCTGATCTGACCTCCATTCATTTTGCTTGAATTGCAAAGAAAAATGTTTCCTGGTTTGAAAATTGACTGAAAGTGAAAGATTAGGTAATGCTCTCCGCCCTATTTTTCAGTTTCTTTTACCATTTCTACTAGACTTTTAATATGAAAAACATCTTTGCTGTTTTATTAGAGCAACTATTCCACTTCAAATAAGTAATTTACAACCCATTTTGGGTTATAGGAACAACATTTCCTTAAAAAATAAAGGCCCTACAGCATACTTGTCAGTGCCCCGATGCAAACAGAGCCATGTTTGAGTACCTCAGCATGAAAATTAAGAAGTTAGATTTTCTTACCTCTTCCATTGTTGTCTGAGCTGAGCAGCCCATTTCTTTCTAAGTGTAATATCTTAGTGGTTTTCCAGGCACAGGGAGACTCAACTACTGAATCTGACTTAGAATGTTGAGCAGACTTCAATGTGCACTTAAAATAGTGTTCCAAAGAAATAAAGATGTGTACCCTGGTATCTGGGCACAACATTGCTTAATTTCAGCCAAATCTGATTGGGTCTGAGGGTCTTAAAAACATTAAATCCCAAAAGAGGAATAAGAATCAGTGAACAGCTGATCTCTGATATCCCATCTGTACCTACGCTGATGAAACAGCTGAGCAAGCACAATCCACAACCCTTCTAATAGTAAGAATCATTTGGCTGGTTGTACAACTGTTGCACAGACACTGAAAATATGGGAGAAAAAAAAAAGTAGTTTCTTTTCTGGCCTTGGCCAGGTCAGAAGGATGCTGTTATTTTCTGTGCTGGAAGAACGTGCAGCATAGATACAAACTTTACATCATCAAGCTTCATTAATTCCAGTTACTTAGCTTTAACATAGCATCATCACAAAGTGACTAAAACTCAACCCAGTCAACTGATTGTAGGCACGCAGAAGGTGGAAACTTACTTGGGAGAGAGAAAATTTTAAAAAGGATACTCCTGTGAGTGTAACTTAGTCTGTATTTTGACACCCAATTGAGTGAATGGTGCTGAAAACCCAAGTTCCCTCTTCCTTATGTAAGGGAACAACCGGCAAGGTGACCACTTTGCTAGCTGGTGCAGCACTGCTCTGAGTACCTGGGTGGCCTCAGAAGACCTCTTCCAAGAGGATCTGCCTAAGGCTATTCTGTGTCCCAGCAAAGGATACCACAGTGTCAGCTGAAAGTGACATATGGCAACTCATTCCTCACAGGTTAAATCTCATTAAGTTGTGGATATTGTCCCAACATTTATCATTAACTAAAATGCCAGGCCTATGGATTACATTGTTACAAAGAACTTACCATTTTTTGACAGACATTAATGTCTCCTGCATCCTTGGAGAAACAAATCATTTTGTTAAAAGTATATTTGAAATACAAAATAAAGAGAAATCTGTTGACACATTCCTTATACAGGAACACACATATCCAAATGGGATGATGGATAAAAACACAGTCTTACAAACAACAGTTCACAGCTGTAGTCTGATGGAAAAATATTCAAAACCAGCATTGTATTCTGGGTATTTCTTGAAAATTGCATGGCATAAACACAGAACATCTGCTGACATCACAGTAATTTGAAGAAAAGGAAGAAGCAACAACAGCACTTCACAGCACAACAGCTAACATGATATTATTAATAGACAATATTTATGACTAAAGGAATTAACTGTACCTTGAAAAACAACGGCTCCTCAGGAAGGGGGCTAACGGGGAGGGAGGCTGTGCTGCCAGCTGGGCTCATGTCCGTACTCTAAAAGAAAAACGCATAGGAGTTTGCATTTCCAATCAAGTTCTATGGACAAATTTTTTACATTTTGGAGGAGGGCAAAAGAAAGTGTTTGAAAACAGCACTGGTAATCCAACAGAATTAGACTGACAACTGCAACCTGTACTTTATTTGCTTGTAATTAGTTCAAGTATTTCACTAATGGGTACTTGCATTTTATTTTGGATTAACTCCCTTTCAAAGACTGAAATACATGCACAAGTACACAAATATGCTGTTCATATTAGTCAATATAGAAAAAAAAAACTATCTCAAAAGAAACTATGACAAAATTTTTAATTATTCTTAAGATGACTCAATGGTATATTTAGAAGGAAAAAATTAACAGGAAAGCAATATATTGCAGGAAAATATTAGGTTCAATGTTTAAAAAAAGATCTAATTCACATGAGTCAATATGCCTTACAAACAAGCACTAATACAATAAAAGAAACAGTGAAGACCAAAGTTAAAATCCAAATAATTCAGTATATTTCAAAGGATCTGTCAAGTCAAAATGCTTGAAAGATTGACCAAGGACCCCACCCTCTTCAGTAACCTGTGGTTTAGCATGGTCATTATTTTTACAGATGTGAAAAATATTAAAACAAATGTGTGACTCTTAACAATATAGAATGATAACAATAATAGAAGAAAAAAATATGGAATTTAAAAACATATATAAACAATATCAAAATTGTTCTGCAGAAAACTAGAATAACGCTACTTCTTGGAAAAAAAAGTCCCTAAGTGCTAAAATGAAAAAAAAAAATCCACCATGACCACCAGTAAAACAGAACTTAAGAATATTAAAAAAAAAACAAAAAGTTTGCATGGCCTAGCAGTGCTTTCCTTTTCACAATGTAGCACTGCAATGCAGAATGATTTCATAAATTCAACTTGTGCACTTGACTAATCCGACACCTGGTTTTGCATCGCTATGAATTTACCCTAAGTCCTTTGATAAACCCAAATTCTGTAAGTGAAGCACACTGCTCCACCCAGTAATTTCCAACAGCTCATCCATCAGGAGATGTTTGTAGAAAGACACTGCATTTTACTCGGCCAAGGGTAAGGGATGAATAAAGACAAAATTTTGGGTATGAAAACCCTGTGTCAAATCCAAAATAGGGCACGGAAATTCCAAAGTTAATACCCACTGAGAACATGTGGCTTTAATTAGATACCTATCAGTTATACCATAGCTGAAAGAAAAGACAGCTGTTACTTGCTAAATAAATGAGAAAGAAGGGGACCATGGCAGTTATATCCTAAAAAAGAGACAGGTAATTTATAACCCACAGAACATAGAGATGATGTTGAGGAATAAAGAGAGATTACAGCATGTCAGAAAGCCAGTATGTCTGTAGAATCCATTGTATTCAGAAACATCACAAATTTTAACTTGGACTCCTGCACCTATCATCAAGAAAACTGGCCAGTACTATTTACAAAATGATGTGAAATTTAGCTGTTCTACATTAAACACAGAGTGGAGACAAAACTGGACCCTTCTGTGGGAATGTTTTGCTTCAAATGCCAGCATCTCAGCAGAAGACAATTCACCTTTTAATTTACATAGAATACAAAAAAAAAAAAAAAAAACTAAGAGAGGGAGAAAAAAAATAAAGTATCTTAAGTTCCATACCAAATCAAACACTCTAATTGGTAATTAGAAGTGTGCAGGAGAGCAGACCCATCTTTAAGCACTGAAACAGCATCACTAGGAAAATCTGCAAAGTGTGAGCTGCACGTTGTTCAGGGATAGCTGGAATCCAAGGAAAGTTTAACAGCCCTGAGGATGATGCTGGTGTTGTCACAAAACATCTCAGGGCACATCCAGAGAATGGCCTCAGAAAAACATCTGCTCTTCCATGATGACTGGACAGGAGCCAGCCCAGGTCCGGTGTCACACTGATGGGGCACCATGCCTGAACTAAAAGGGCTGTTGGGTGGGAAAGGGTGTTAGGAGGGGCACTATAACTACCTGGCTTCTGGATTGAAAATAATTTGAGTCTGACCAGACAGGAGCACTGGCAGAAGAGCCTAGAGCTGTTCACATATACATACTCTCAGTGCCCCTCCAACACCAGTAATTTTCCTCTTTAAGGAAAGCAGAGCACTATCTGTGCCTGTGTAAATTAATTAAACCCAGTGGCACTAGCACACTTCATTATAGTGGAGAATTGAGACAGCACCAAAAGGGTTGTTTCTTGAGCTATTTAAAAACCCAAACCCTTACAAACTAATCACTGCTATGAAAGATGTTGATAGCTTGCCTTCCTGAAGCAATATACTAAGAATTTCAAACACCACCACACTCCCTATTTAAATTTGCTCTCTGTGGTGTGTTTATCATAATCACACTTTGCAGTCTAAAGCTCCCCATACATATAAAAAAAAAAAAATCACTGTGAGGAATTTACTCAATGGGGACTTTTTATCTAATGTTGTCTAAACCAATTGTGTTCTCATAAAAGCAGCCACTCGCTTCAAGTCCAGCATAACTTGATAGGTTTTAGTTATAAATTAACCAGAAGATGCTATACCATTGGGCTATAATTATATATTGTACACCATCACAAATGCTAAATAAAACCTAATTTGTATCTTATTTCAAATTATCATGCAAAATTAGGACATCTGATTTTGCAGTATTTTGCTGTGCAACTATCATTTTAATATGTGTTTTTAATGTACAAAATGCACAGCTGGGTTTTGTTGACAGAGCCTTTTCCATGTGTCACTGGAAACCTTTCAGTTTACCAGAGGGCAGAAAATTTGCACAGCTTTAATCACCTAAACTACATTTTCAAAATATCTGAAAACCAAGCAATTCAAGTATTTCTCAGAACAACAGTTTAGAAAAATACCATCTTGCCCATGCCAAAATTCTCCCTGTGAGCACTTCTCTCAATGCTTTTAGGCCTTTTTTTTTTGTTGTTGTTTTTTGTTTGGAACAGGCTGCTAAATCCAGAAAACTCACATTATTAGAATGAGAAAGAGTCATTATTAGAAGAGTCAATAACTCTTCCATGATTGCAAAGATCAACGCTCAAGTTTTAATCTAATTTTTAGAACCAGTCTAAATATACATCATCCTTATTGCACAGTTGAACAGGTACCTTGGAGTCACTGATAGGGCATGGTAATCATTTATTCTTGGAGAGCAATGTTAAAACTGTGATCAGGAGGTTTCTTGATAATGAGGCAAAGGAAGAAAACAAGTCCAAGAGAACAAACTTTTCCCATTGCTACATCCATTTTGGAGATCGAAGGTCAGGATCCTGTTTGAGGACAAATTCTCATCATTTGAGCTAGATGGAAGTGAAAGCAGCTGTTTCTAGAGCTGTTTTAAAGTAGTTACAGACTTGGTTTTGTTTTATTCCAATTGTCTGTACCTTCCTCAAAGCAGAACATTTCACAAACCTACATAACAATGTAAACTGTCTAACAGCAGATTAGAGAATCAGTTAGAGAATGAGCAGTGGTTCTCCAGCAACACAGAAGGCATGTGCACGGTGTTAAAAACATGCTCCTTTGAAAAGGACTCCTTCTTTTGAAGAGTCATCTTCCAGTCTTCAGCAACTCTTCTACAAGTAAAAGCATAAATTCAGGGTTGTCTTGCTATAAACCCTTGCCTTTAATCTGATGTTCTTTAGCAGGTCGCCTGTCTGTCAGCCGTTGTTAATTGTGCCAAAAAATAAGGACCATCTACCGACAGAAGCCAATTTCATTTGCTACAACTGCTTTTCATAAAGGGTAAACATTGCAATGGTAGCTGGCAGACACTGACTTCTCAGGAGACCGGTATCACAATTTATTGATCTAAGGAGTTAATACTGACAGAGAAAACCTTCAGTGGATATTAGAGCTAGAGATCCAATAAATCTTTATAATAACTGAAGAAAAGACAATCTGTGTACTTTATAGCTTTGTCTAAGAGGTAGTGGATGAGTGTTGAAGTGCCTTTCAGAGTGATCGCTTTAGTTGTATCGTAAGTTATGTCAGAAAATATCATTTTATAATCTAGAAGTTGAGTAGAACTAGGAAATTAAATAAGTGCAGTCAGCAAGCTCAGTAGTGACATTTTGATATACTGAAGTAATCAAAGACCTGCAAATGGATTTATTAATGGGTCTGCACTGTATTTTTATGAAATATTGCACTTGAAATATCATTATCCAATTTTATCCATGGAAGTGAAAAAGAAGGGAAAGTGATTTGCTGAAATCTATGACGGGAGGTTAAAAACAAAGACAGAATCATCCAGTTATTCATCCAGGGTGTGCCTTGCTTTCTTACACACTTTTGGAGTGCTCCGGTTTCTGCAATTTCTGTATTAATGTCATGAAGAGGTTTTGCTCATACATATACTTCCTGTAAGTAAATCTGCTATAAACAACTGAGGCTGGAAAAATGAAAATTTGTTTAGATTAAGGAAAATAGTAGATACACAATAAAAGCTTTCACCTCCCTCCCTCTGTTGGGTTTGGGTAACGTCCCCCAACATCTCCCATCGCTCTCACTAAGAATGGAGCAAGAGCCTCCTTAAAATGTGTTTTGTAATATCTATGGATACAATTCAGGTAGTTATTTATAAATCCATGTCACATCTCCTTCCATAAAAAATACAGTTAAATATCTTACTAATTACTAATGCATGCAATTAACATCTGACACATTTAAGTATTATTTTCCAGTATTTGCCTGGTGCTTGCTGCTCCCATAGCTAGGAAGGCTGCATGGGTCTTGCATCTGACCTGAGTTATTGTAGCTCCCATTGCAGAAGTGAAGCTTAAATTACAGCTGCTACTGTGTCTTGCTACCTCTTTTTATGCTCCATGAGGTACAGACAGCTGGGTAAGGTTTCAGTGGTTCAATTATCTACTGATTCTCAATCAGCAATTAGTACACAGGCATACAGATTAGTCCTTATTCCTCTCGCAATCTAAGCAAAGCAAATCACCTGGGGAAGTTGGGAA